GCCTTTCAAACTGTTAGTATATGAATTCTGAGACGACGATCACTAAACTCCTTCGAGGCCTGAACATTGGATCCCAATGCAATTTGACACAGTGAAAATATTCTAACAAAAAAGATTATCAAATTGCACCGTAACCTTTTTAACTTGAAAAGGAAAAGTGACTTACAACTTGCATGACAATGTCAAAAGGGTATCCCCCAATCTGAGCTTCTGATAAAAATCCAACCTTCAGAAGAAAATGAATACCATAAAATTAGAGATTAAAGAAATAGCTTAGAACCTAGAGAATCAGGGGGAAAAAATAGAAACATACCCAGTCATTATCTCTTGCCAGCAAAGCAAGGTATTTGGTGCTGACAGGAAGTTGATGCATCTGACAGAAATTGGTAACTAAACTCCACAGTTGGCTTGCTGCTTTTTGTCCATTTCTTAATTCAGCTCCATCACCATTTCCACTTAACAGCCAAGTCCCGCATGTCCTTCCACCAACCAGTTGTGGAAGACTAGCCTTTTCCAAATGCAGTAGAACAAGCATGAGAGCACGACAAGGTCGTCTATTAGCAATTATTTTTGGAGCACCTTTCTGGTTGAAACTGCCTACAGTATCTTGGTGAACATATTCATCTGCCAGTGCCTGAGCTAGATATGCTACTATATCACCTTCATGGTGTAGTGAATGAAATGCAGAACCCTTCCCCAAAACTTGCTTAGAAATGTCACCATTTTGAGTACATTGGTAGAAGGAAGATATCCGCCTCAAGACAGCTATGTCTACGCGAAGCATGCTGGCCGATAGGCCACAAAGCTCAAGAAGAAAAGCACATGAAGCCACAAACACGGAATCCTCAAAATGAGTAATTGCAACTGGCATGACCTAGAAGATCAAGCGTCACAGGTGTCATAGAAACATCATTTGTCTAAAACCTCCTTGCACATGCTAAAATAACAGAAAAATTCAAACAAGGGCCCTTGTACTTAGATATCTGTCACTTACAAATGAAACAAGAGATTCTTCACTTTGTGTTATAGGTGAAAGTAGTATCTGGACATCTGATTGAACGTTTGATTGGCCATGCATCAGAGAATCTTCCAATTTAAGTTTTTCAATCCTAAGTCCAAGTAGGCGATTAAAAGCTGCCAATGCACGTCCACGATGCAAGTGGTGCTCAAGACCAAGTCCAGTTTCCTGATTCAGTGAAAGATACATTTTTTTTTTAAATAAACTCAGTGCAAGATACATAAACTATTTAAATGTCAGGGAAGTAACAATAAACCATATAGCTGTTTGTAAAACCAATGTCTCTATAAAAGCAACAAGACCCCCAAAACAGTGGAGAGAAAACAAGAGGAAAACATGCAAGAACATCTCAGAATAAAGTTTATCTAAGCACGACACTTAACCAAGCCTTTGGTTCTATACCTCAGAAGCCAATTGCAGTTGGACATTTAACTGCACGAAAACAATCTATCAGTTGTACTTTTAAAAAAAATTGAAGTCACTAGCTAACAAGCTTCTTCTTCTTGCTTCTCTAGTGGATTTTAATGTTCATAGAAATACAGAAAGTGATTGTCAGAGCATAATTAAGGCATTAAGTCTTCGATAAGAACCAATTTCACTCCAGGGGATGTTGGAAAGTGTAACTATGAAAAACTAAGATAAAAGGTATAATAGGAAAATATACCTATATGTAATTAATTGTAAGTTTTATTTCTTGAATAAAAAAACATGTATATATAGGGTTGTGTTATTTAATAAAGTAAAAAACTTATTCTTTTACATAATATCAGAACTTTATGAAAAAAATATTTTATCTTTTTTCCAAATCCTAGTCAACTTTCATCACCGAAATAAGAAAAACCTTACAGAGGCCAGCCTTCATAATCGGCCATCACTACCATAGCACCACCACAACCACAATCGGCCTTCGTAGCCAAAACCACTGTAGGCCCTGCTCTAACAACCACACACCACAGCCCTTTCTGCGAAATGGCGGCAGCCAGACAGCCACCATTCTGGCCCCGCACCAGCCACAGCCTGCTCCAACCACGACTGCACCAATAGCTCGCTTGACACTGCACCCTGCCAACCCTGCTCCAGCCACAGCCACTCCAGCCGTGTTTGCTCCAGCCGCACCTGCAACAGCAGCCATAGTCCACTCATTCACTTATTGCAGCCTACTTCAACCTACGCAGCCCTCTGCAAGAGCACCTGTTCCGACACTAAACAAGGCCTCCATTGCCTAGATACTTCCTTCGATCCTATGTGAGGTCTTGTCACAAACCACGAGCACTAATCCAAGCATAGCCAATTTACAAAATATTACCAGAGAATTATAAGAAATTCAGGCAGCCCATTGTCTGAATGAAAAAATTATTAGAAGTGGTCACTGCTGACCAACACAATACTCAAGAAAAAAAAGAAAAATCAGCCACATTCTGGACACTAGACCAAAACCGGGAGACCTGCAATTTAATGCACGAGATGAAAAAGACTCAATTATAATAGCTTGATTCTGACACTTAATGCTCCCGGAGATAATCGATACACGTAGTATAAGAAATGTTCAAGAAGTAACTCAATAAACTTATTCCAAAGGTTAAGATGCATCTTAAATCTATAATTTGATAATAAAGGCTTGGTCTATAAAGCAAGGAAGTAGATTAGCGACGGAATATACCAATATCCTAAAAGGCCGGTGGCAGAAACAAGACCAATATCATTTGCTCAACATGAAGCCGCCCTAAATAAAAGTGGAAAAGGATAGAGCATATTAATTCCAATTTTGTCTTAATGCAAAATTCAATCAGGTGTGAGTTCAAATACTTGAGAAAGAAGAGATCTCATCACCTAACAAAGAAGGATTATGATGGTACCTCAGTCCACTGAAAGCTCAAGTATGATAAGCAAGGGCTCCAAACCACGTGAAAAGGCAAAGGAGCCGACTCAACCTAACACACCAACAGTAGGTAGAGAGAATAGGGACAACTGTGATGTACCTTCTGTAAGAAACTAACATATACTAAGAAAATATGTTGAAAACTCCATGAGCAGCCCATCACCTCCAACAAAGACCGGGTTATAAAAATACTTCACCAAGGCCCCAAGGCAAGCACATGTGGCCACCTAATAAAAGGAGGAGAAGGCTGTTAATCTCAGCTTCAGAGCAGAAATCAAGTGTCGAAGGACGATTTGAATCTTTATAGAAACTCACAAGTACATGTTTATTGGCACGTACAAGTATGTTTTCCATCTCGTATGGATTAAATGCCTCCAATAAACCTTCTGGACTATCTTGGATTATAGATTCAAAAGCTATATATCACATTACCAACTCCTATAAGTACTTTAACACCGATATGTCGTGTCCCAATAATAAAAAAAAATAGCTACTACTTGTGGTTCACTAAACACCGGAATAGGAGTTGGAAGCATAAAGATTAGTCTCCACTCTACACTCACTTATGTACTTCATGTTCTCAAATTATACACAAATCTAGTTTTAGTGACCAGATTATCACATGACCTAAATTATATGTGATTTTTTTCTTTATCTTATTGTGAATTACAAGATCAATCCTCAGGAAGGATGATTGGATATGCCGAAGCAAGGAACTAGTTGTACTTCTTGGATGCACCTAATATGTCACAGTCCACTCTCATCACTAGTACCTTAGACAATATATGGTTACACCACAAATGATTAAGATATCGTTTTTTTTCTATCCTTAAGATTATGTTTTCCTTCTTATTTAAAGGTTCCAATGATGGAAATTTAAATTGTGATGCATGTGAACCAGCAAAACGCAAAGGTGCGATTTTTCCTCCAAGTAATGGAAAAAGCGTTTTTCCTTTTACATTAATCACAGAGATATTTGGTGTTCTCCAAATATTCCTGACATTTCTGAAGTTAGATGATTTGTCTAATTTATAGATGATTCTACTCAAAAAACCTGACTTTACCCAAAGACAAAGTGAGTCATGCCTTTCCTCCATGTTATTATATGATCAAAACCAAACATTATCCTCATTTTTTCCATTGTGAAAAGTGGTTCATGAGTATTCCTATGCCTACACTCCAAAACAAAATGAACAGGCAGAACAAAGAAGCGGCCAATTACTTGCTACTACTCATGCTTTCTTGCTCCGAAACTATATACCTAAACAATACTGGACTGAGATTGTTTTTACTGTCACCTATCTTATAAATAGGTTACCATCTAGGGTGTTGGAATTACAAAGTCTTACAGAAGTAGTATCTACCTATTTTCTTGACGAAAGGGTCCAAAATCACCTTATCTCTAGCGTCTTCAATGTATTGCTTATGTTCACATATCAATATCTAAGGAAGAAGCTTGATCCAAGGTCTATTCAATGCATGTTTGTGAAGTACTCTCAACATAAAAGGGATACAAGTGTTATCACACTTCTACCCAAAAAATTTTATATATATGCTAATGTCAGATTGAGACCACACTTTCTTCAGCCAACCTTATGTTCAGAGGAAGATTGTATCTGAAGGTAAACACTTATTACTTTTTGATATCCCACTACCTTTAAATATTACATTCTCTCAGTTACCCAAAAAACAGAAAATGAATTCCAGATGCACCATAATCCAAAAAATGAACCTAAACCAATAACTTTATAGGACCCACAATTTTCTCAGGTGTACTTAAGGAGAAAATTTTGGATCCTAAATCAAAGTAAGTTCAAGCATCTGAGTTGAGTGCTGGGAATAAGGTAACTTTTGAAAAGCCTTTTGTCTTCTGATATTAGATATACCCATTGAACCCAAAAAAAAGGATTAGGGAATATACTAAACATCAACT